CATCTATCCATCCATCCATCCATCCATCCATCCATCCATCCATCCATCCATCCATCCATCCATCCATCCATCCATCCATCTATCTATCTATCTATCTATCTATCTATCTATCCATCCATCCATCCATCCATCCATCCATCCATCTATCTATCTATCTATCTATCTATCTATCTATCTATCTATCTATCTATCTATCTATCTATCTATCTATCTAGATCGATCTACATGTAACTATCTATTTACCTACTTTTTCATTTATCTATACATCATTCTGAAAGTTCATATGTACACGGTTTGCTGAAGATGTTGGTGCCTATCTAAGCAGCTATAAATCAGTTTACACGAATTTTTAAAAAGGGGAGGCTGTGGTGTAAGCTTTAAATAAGTTAAAATCGCAAACATTTATAAAACAATAGGTGAATAACTAAACCATGGCAATAACATTTTCTCTTTCCTCCAAGAAGCCTCAACATACATGAGTTACTTCGAAAGGGTTGTGCAAGGAGAGAAACAAGTAATAAAAGATCAGCATATTTTTGGCAAACTTTCAAGGTAGAGAGGGAGACGAGAAAGGGCGGGCTACCATTCGTTCAACATTTCAGCAGGCTCTAAATGTCTGGTACCCTGTAATTAACTATGCGTCAGAAGACCATACCTGCACATAGCATACCCTGCTGAGCATACACAGCTTTGTTTCATCAAAGGACAAGCCTTGAAGAACAAAGGAACGGGTTGTTGTTTTTTACTTCTACAGAACCTAATGAATTGCATTGTTTAAAAAATGAGTAGTCTGGTTGTTTGTTTGAGTAAAGAGGGCACGTCAGCACAATGATGGCCATTTAGTTCTGAGAAAAAGAAAGACAGAAACAACAGAGGGAAAGCAAAGAAGTAGGACCCAGTAACACCCTCCAACCACATGCTGCGTAGTCGGAAAATCTCTCAACCTCATCGTATGATTGAGAAATGTGACAGACTTGTCTCTTAATTTAAGACTTATCTCAATTAAAAATAACCATGATGTGTATTCTACAGTTCGATTCGATTATCCTTGTTATCTAAGCGACTCTAACATACGATGATTACTTTTCGAGATATACATGACTTTGGTGATTAGAGCCGATATCCGCCATCGGTAGTCTAGTGGTATAGGCTACTGGACTCGTAATCATGAGATTGCGAGTTGGAAGATTTTGAGGCTCAGTTCGACCCAATGCTGGGCCCGTGGAAAAGTCACGTTACACCAATTGTCCCATTTAGCTCTGTTCTATTGGAGATGGGCGTTAAATTTGGATGTTCTGCCTCTTAAATAACTTTACAGCATTGCCAGCGGCGTTAAACCTATACAAAGTCACTTTTTAAAAAAACAACCAAAATGAGTCATTATCCTTCAATAAACAACTTCAGCCCGTCCAATTTCCCATTCATGTGTCGTCAATATTGGGAGACATTTGCAATCATCCAAGGAGCTATCCCGCTGCCCCCTGTACAGTTAATAATACTGCTAATTAGGACAGGTTTTCAGTTTTAAAGTTTTAGGGTGTATACTACACTGTTAACATCGAGAAAGTAATGTTAATAGATAGCGTGTCTATAGCGCATATTTCCGCTCAACAGCACGCTCTATAATATGCGCTTCACAATCTATATTACTACCCCAGCAGACCTTACTATAGCATTATGAAATAACCTCAGCTTCCTGTGAAGCACACAGTGCAAGCTGCCATGTTATATATTTCCAACTTAAAGTAATATTTTCCTATGTGCTCTCTATTTGGACGGAGTTTTCTCCTGGCTCCTTTCAAAACATAACTTTGGGAGGGGGGGGGGGTGTTCAAAGAATTGTTTTGTCGTGCGACTTGCCCTTTTGTCTTTCTTTTAGTTTAAGTAAGAGATTTACGGCACTTGCAACACAATAAGGTCATATAAGTGCCAAAGATTAGAGGTGTTACATGAGAGTAACAAATATAAAAAAGAAAAAGGGGAGATAAGGACGATAGATGTTCGATAGGAAAGAAGAAGCAAACCACACCAGAGCACCAGCCAACCACCCACTTGTCTTTCTTTCACTTCCATCATGTAAAAAGTGGTGAGAACCTTACTCAAGCTGAGCAAACAAACTCAAACTGAACACGCACATTACAACCATTCCTATGAAAATAATGTTCGTACAAGGCAAAACACACTGACAACCACACGACTGTTATGACAAAAACCCACTTTTCGTGCGCCGCCATCATCTCGTCGTACTTGTCCCCGTATTTCTCCCTTCTTCTCTTCTCTCGTTCTGCTTTCCGCTTCGCTTTTTCTTCAAAATATTTCTTCTTCTCTTCTTCCGTCATGTTCTCCAGATCAACTGCGTCAGAATCGGTGCTGGCGTCACTGAAATCTGGGATCTCTTTTCCTTTCCGCCCTTTCTTACCGCGGCCTGTCTTTTCTTTCTTCACGCGAATTTTGCCTCCTTTCCCGTCCGACATTTCTGTGTACTCACTGAGACAGAACAGAGGCTTCTGGTCAGTGCTGTTAATGGGGTCTAGGTAAGCGAACAGCTTTTTCCCTCAGAAAACTTCCAAATTATTATATTTCATGAAAGAAGGAGAACTGCACTAAAAGTTAAAAGAATATAATAACAGGTCACTATGAGGATGAATACTAGATCTCTATAATAATATATTACAACAAAATGCCGACTACAGAAAGGAAAAGAAAATTTACGGTATTGTGAAAATAACATGTCGACGCATGAAGCATGTATGCTAGATCAAAGTAAAAGTTTATTTAAAAAGCAATTTTAATCAAATGAACAAACCTAAAAATGAAGGGGAATATAAAATTATGACAGAAGTAGTTTGGAAGTGACAGAATCCTACCGAACTAGACCAAATATGCTACTAAAGAAGAAAAATGAAGAAAAAAACTATTAATAAATCTACAGAAGGCACCTACGAAAACATAAATGCAAATTAACTATTAAAAAAGAAGAAAAAAATTAAAAGAAATAAATAGAATGATAATACTAATTGAATGATAGAACATAACTGACATGCCAGTTTTTAAGTGTATGTACTTACCTTTCGGAATCTGATTCTGAAAAGAAATAATACAAAAATAAAATGTACAACTTTGAAACAATAGTTCGGAGAAAAATTCTTCATTCCGTATCTTCCTTACGACATATTTATTAAGCCAATTGTCCTAAATAATGTGGAACACTAGGCATATCTGTTTGGGGGGGGGGGGAAGAGAATTGCCGATGATCTACCACTCATCATTCAGCGTTAGATCATGTTCTCCATTCATTCCTTTGCTCGGATGCTCTCAAAAAGCTACGTTTCCCTGATCTTTCCCTGTTAGCCATTTGTTTAGGTTTCCTAAGTTGATTGTTCTGGGCCTACCCCTTCCTCGTTTGCCTTCAATTTTGCCAGTGAGAGCTAGATGTTCAAGACCCTTATGTTTATTCAGGTGTCCCAAAAACTGCATTTGTCGTTTCCTGATTGTTTTTAACAGTGAGCGTCCCACGTGGGCTTCATCGAGCACTACCTCATTTCATTTCTTTTCCTTCCACGATACTCTTAACAGTCTCCTGAGAAACCACATTTCTGTTGCTTCTATTTTATTTTCACTGTCTTTAGTGATTGTACAGCATTCACAGCCATATAGAAGTGTTGACCATACATAGCATTTCAGAACTTTCATTTTGGTGATCATTGAGATGTTTTTATTTTATGGCTCGCAAAAGACCTTGGTTCGATTCCTGTGCGCAGATAATTTCTATTAAGAGTCTCTCTGCCAGGCTGTTGAGAAGTTGTATCCCTCTCAGCCCGAGTTGGTCCTGACAGGCAAGATCAAAACCCACCTCTTGAAGTATCGAAATTATCTAAATCATGTGAATTGTCTAAATTATCTAAATCGGCTAAATTATCTAAAATATCTAAATTATCTAAATTATCTAAAATATGTAGATGTGAAACATCCATAATAATATTAAAAAGGGGGCAAAGCAGATGTCTGTTTGGCACATTGTGCTCCGGCCGGAGTCATGTCGCGACCCAACCTGAACCACTCCTATGCAGTCGTGTAGATCACACTTTGAACAACTGGAATATTGAGTCCTTCATTTCTAATAGATCTACCCAGTGAACAAAGCCAATGTGATTCATTTGATTCAGTAGGGGCCAGCCAGACTTTCCTTCATTGGAGAAGAAAAAGCTACCATTTTGGCACATTACGATAAGAGAATTATTCAGTGATGTGATTTTATTTTGAGGGTGTGTTTATTCGTTTGTTTGTTTCCGTTTCTTTAGGCACCCCCATGCACACACATCAGGGTTATAAACCTTTTTGTATTATCCATATGCATGGTGTTTTCTTTTTTAACGTCTTTTTCCTTAGACACCGGCGTCTGTGGCGTAGTGATATGCGTTTCTCCGTCGCAAGCAAAAGACGAAAGTTTGATTCCCGTAGAAGAAAAAAGATTGCCGAGGGGGGGGGGATATCGTCTGCAGGGATGTTGTATATCTCTCAGCCCGTGCTGGCCTTGACAGGTAAAGTCGAAGCAGCACGCCTCCTTATTATCTAAATAGTGTCCATGAGGGCATAAAATATTCACAATTTGGTTTTAGGCCTTGGAAATTTCTGGTCAAATCAAAAGCTTGTACTGTCTTAAGTATGAGCTTTAAAGCTGGCATCCTCACCCTC